ACTTTTTTCTTACTAAGTAAATCATCTTTGGGCTTCTAACAAAAGTTGTAGAGCTCATCAAGACGCATCTAATGGTAATAAGAATATTAAAATTGGCTTGGTGGTTCTTGAGAAATCTTTAAAAAATATTCCACTAACATATAAAATTTCTTTAAAAAAAATTGATTTTTTTAAAGATTTTATATAGTCACCAAAACATTTTTTAAAGATTTCTCAAGAACCACCAAGCCAATTTTAATATTCTTACTACCATTAGATGCATCTTAATAAGCTTTACAACTTTTGTTAAAAGCCCAAAGATGATTTACTTAATAAGAAAAAATGTTTTCCTTGCACGAATGCCACATTTCCGTCTTAAGAGATTTATATATAGAACCGTGTTGCATTATACTAAGATAATTAATCAGTTCACTGGAGAATTATCAATTAATTTATTTAATTGTCCAAAATTATCCAAAGTGTCCAAACTTACTATTTACAACTATTCTGTGACAATACTAACTTCAGGTACTGTAAGCAGTAGCCAATGGTAGTAAGACTAGAGATAGCATATATACTATAAATAACTTGTTTGATTTTATTTATTTCAACTCTATTCTCTCTAAATAGCTTTCAAATTTTTTTAGCTTTTAAAGTTTTTATATACAAGTTTTCTAATATAATATTAGAGAGATGCTCTAATATTTTCTTGTATAATTAAATTCTAGCAATTTTATCTATAACTTTTAATTTACAGCAAATTTTGATAACTCTATTTTCAAAATTATCTAAATAGTTATACTATACTAAGATTTCTTTATATCTAGATTATAACACATAATAAAATAGACTAAACTTTGTATTGTAATTTGAAATATTTGATATTCTGAAATTATAACTAATGATATAATAGGTTGCTATTAAGTAATTTTTTTATTAATTCTTGTTTTATATATTGACTTTTAATAGATTTAAATTTTATTAAATTTCTTAGTTTTATTTTATCAATCATCATATAAACTCATAATAAAGTTTGTATTTTTTTTAAATTTTTTAAATTATACTAATCATAACTCTTCACAAAAAAAATATTCTAGAAAATTAAGAATAATTCTTAATTAGCTGATTTATGCAAGAGTTTCTTCTTTCTATTACACTATCTAATTTCATTATTAACCTTTTTCTTATATACTTTATTTAAAAAATATTTGTTTTTTTATTTTTTAAAAATATCTAATCATATTGGTCTATAACAAATATATTAATAGCTAGCTCTGATAATCTTTTTGATATCAGTTCTTTAGATAATGAAATATAGTCAAACCTCTCTATAGTTATATCCTATATAAATATATATTCTTTATAAGCATATATTTTTAAAAACCAACTATTATTAAATATAATAAATTTAACCTCTATAATTAGTACACTTCTCTTTAATCACTCTTTTTTGTATTCTGAAGATATGACTATAAAGAGGTTTGACTGTATCTATTTTTATAAATAACTGATCTATAAGCAAATTGAAATTAGATAAGCTATTATTAGAAGAATTAGTTACTTTAGAAATATTATTACTTAGTATTTGCCTCTGCTCTACTTTTCTAATTCTATCTCTCAACTCTATATTTTCAGACTTAAGTTTAATCATAACTGTCTTATTTTTTAGTTTTACAATTATAATATTAAGTTTACTAATCTTAATTGAATAATACAATATAGTTTTCTCTAGCTTATTAGTTCTTGCTTTAAGCTCCTGTCTTAGTTTTGTTTTTTTAACCTCATCCTTAACAATTTTTTTTCTAAGTTCACAAATCTTAGCTAAGAGCTTAGTATTTAATTCTCTTAATAAATCATTGAATTAATTACTTAATATAATTAATAAAATTTTATACAAGAATATGAATTGTTCAATATTATATTGTGAATATAAAAGATTTGCTTTATTAATACAAAAATAAAAAATAAATATAATAATCAGAACTTTGTCCAGAATATATGATAGTTTTTTCTATACTAGTATGCATATAACAAATTGTTATACCAATCACTTTTGCTAAAAAAATTTTTAAAAATTCTT